CAAAAGCTAGTTCAGAATGTTAATTGCTTTACAAGGTACTGAGCCTAAAATATTTCATCAAAAGCTAGTTCAGAATGTTAATTGCTATTTTGAATCAGTTCAGGAGGGTGCTGGTGAAGGAAGCTTAGGGTAGCATAGATGCTATTGATCCCTTGAAGGACTATGATATAACAAGGACAGACACCTGCAATACCTCTCTAATTATCATAAATCTTTGAAGGACTTAGATATAGCAAGGCCAGACACCTGCAATCTCATCCTGTGAAAGTTCCTCCTGCAATCCCCCCACAAGGACTTCTGTCTGGCCAGATCATACTGTCAGGGAGTTAATTATAGAGAATAGGCTTCTAAGTTTCTCACCATAAAGGGGAGAACATAGTACAGAGAGAAGTAATCTTCCTGACCATCCACAGACAGATATATTTATCCAGTAAATGAAATATTTCCATAAGATAAACAAGCAGTGGGGAAACACCCAAAGCTATTCTTAGGGAAGAAATGAAGTGACTCGTGAGAGAAATTACAGGCAGAGACAAACAGTTTTCCACAGTGACCCCATGGCCATTCCAAGTGAGGCTTCCCAAAAGAAAATCACTCATCTAGTAGGTTAGCCTGTAGAACACTAGTTACCATTTGCTGTAACGCTCAGTGTCTCCAACACTTTACAAGTAGGGTCTAGTTGCAGGAAGTAGGTCACTGAGGACATGTCCTTGAAGGATATAATTTGTCCCTGATCCCTGTACCCCAAAACCCAACTTCCTTGCTGCTGTTGAGTGAGTAAACACACACACACACACACACACACACACACACACACACACAGAGGACTGATTGAGGAAGTGTCTTTTGGAGCAGCCTTGGAAGACATGAGTTAGTAATCTTCTCAGATTTCTGAGAGTAGAGAGTTCTGCAGTTCTGCTTATTTGAACAAGGCAGCAGCAACATAAACATTTCCCTATGTCTTAAGGCTGATTTGTGTTGACAGCTGTACCTTTAAAAAGATTGCCAAGCCATATGTAGTTGGTTTTCTTTTCTCCAAAAGAATTACCCAGTGGAGGAAGAGCTTATATGCTCTTGGCATTCCTGGCTTCCTGTCATGCAGACATAATAATGATGGCTATTATTTCCATTTATAGTATTTCCAGAGAGAAGAGTTGGCCACATATTGAAATTTAGGAAACAGTAGTGAATAGTAAATGTTTCTCCACAATTATCAGTCGGTTGTTTTCACTTTTTGCAGATGAGAAATTAATCTTGGGGATTCTAGATACCGAATTACAGCTGGAACACAAGAACCTCACAGAAGAGTGTCTTTATGGTGCCTAAGAATGATAAAAATTGAGATTAGTTATGTTACCTCAAAAGCATATGACCAATAAAGGATTAAGCTGATACTGAGACCTTTCTTTTTATCCAGAAACAATGAAAATGTCTCTTTAGTTACTAAGCTGAACACTGAGAACTTTATGATGGATTATATTGGATGCTAGTTGAGTCTATCTCCACCTTGAGACTAGGTAATCAATTAATGTACTTTGCTAACTCCCAGGATCTCTGTGTTTATTCTTTATTGAGGTTCCAGGAATAATATCAGACTATTCAAAACATTAGTAGAGAAACAACACAGAAAGGTTGTCTATGATCTGCAGTGAGAGACCTGCCTTTAGGAGCTATAGAGGAGATCAATCTAATTCAATGAATGTTGAGAATTCCTTGGTCCATAAAAGAAAAATAAGTATTTTATCAAGGAATGAAGACTTGAAAGTATCACCATCTGGAAGTGTCTATCATGCCTAATTAATTACACTAGATTTTATTTCCTTAAGTGGAACGGTGTTGGGTTTTGAATATGAAATGTCCCCCATGGTGGTGACTTTTTGGGAAAGTTGTGGAACCTGTAGGAAGTGAAGTCTTGTTAAAGGAATGGATGAGTGGAGGAAGGTCTTGGGGTTTTATAGCCTATTCTCACTTCTATTCACTTTTGTTTCCTGACTACAGTTGGAATGTGAAGGCTCTCTCTCTCTCTCTCTCTCTCTCTCTCTCTCTCTCTCTCTCTCTCCCTATGTATTATCTACCTATGTATCTATGTACCATCTATCTATATATTATCTATGTATCTATGTATCTATCTTTAAACAAGAACTGATGAAGAAAACCTATGATATGGAAGGTCGTTATACCTAGCTAAGATTTAAAGAAATTTTTTTGAGAATTTCATAATGCTTCGTGCATTCTGAGTAATCTCTCCACTTCTGGGCAACATCACCAGCCCTCATTTCATTTTTCCTTTTGAGGTAGATCTCACTTAGTTACCCAGACAACTCTCACTCTGCAGCTAAAGAAGGCGTGGAACCTATGATCCTCCTGCCTCAGCTTCCCAAGTACCTGAGAATAAAGGCCTGGCTGAGGGCCCCAACTTTTACCTGAAAAAAATCCAAACAAACAAACAAAAACCCTTCCATTTCATCTGTGAGATGGTGCTGGAGAGGTAGCTCAGCTGGGTGTCCCTAACAATTGCTCTTTTTATACGAGCACACACACACATACACTAAAGTAAAATAAGTGAATCTTTAAAACTAAATAAATCTGTAAAATTACCTCTGAAGACAGTGCTAGCCTAAGGCACACATGCATGGCAGGACCACTTTTTTTTTTTGCAGATTTTTTTAATTTGAATTAGAAACATGATTGTTTTTACATGACAATCCCAGTTCCCCTCTCCCTCCCATCCTCCCCTGCCATGCTCCCCCAACTAAATCCTACCTATCACATATCCTTTCTGCTCCCCCTGGATGGTGAGGCCTTCCATAGGGTGTCATCAGAGTCTATCGTATCCTTTGGGATAGGGCCTAGGCCCACCCCTGGTGTGTCTTGGCTTAGGGAGTATTCCGATATGTAGAATGGGCTCCCGAAGTCCACAGCTATGCTAGGGATAAGTGCTGGACTACTACAGGAGGTCCTGTAGATTTCCGAGGCTTCCTCACGGAAACCTATGTTCCTGGGGTCTGCATCAGTCCCATGCTGGTTTCCCAGCTATCAGTCTGAGGAGCAAGAGTTCCCAGATGTTCAGGTCAGCTGTTTCTATAGGTTTCACCAGCCTAGGATGGAACCCTTTGCTCTTCACTCATCCTTCTCTGCATCTTGATTCCAGTTCAGTTCAGTGAATAGTTGTGGGTGTCTGCCTCTACTTCCACCAGCTGCTGGATGAGGGCTATCAGGTGGCATATAAGTCAGTCATCAATCTCATTATCAGGGAGGGCATTTAAGGAAGCCTCTCTTCTGTTGCTTAGATTGTTAGCTAGTGTCATCTTTGTAGATCTCCAGACCTTTCCCTACTGTCTGATTTCTCTGTAAACCTAAAATGTCTCCCTCTATTATGGTATCTCCGTTCTTGTTATCTTCTATTCTTCCCCCGACTCAACCTTTCTGCTCCTTCATGTCCTCTGCATCCCTCCTCTTCTCCCCTTCTCATTCTCCTACTCCCTCCCCCCTCTTCCCATGCTCCCAATTTGCTCAGGAGATCTTGTCCCTTTCCCCTTCTCCAGGGGACCATGTATGTCTCTCTTAGGGTCCTCCTTGTTTCCTAGCTTCTCTGACAGTATGGATTGTAGGCTGGTAATCCTTTACTCTATGTCTAAAATCCACATATGAGTGAGTACATATCATGTTTGTCTTTTTGTGGTTGGGTTACCTCGCTCAGAATGGCTTCTTCTAGTTCCATCCATTTTCCTGCAAATTTCAAGATTCCATTGTTTTTTTCTGCTGAGCATTACTCCATTGTGTAAATGTACCACAATTTCTCTATCCATTTTAAGTGACAAACAGCAGCATGCAGCCCACGGTGTGCCTTGTAACCTCCTACACCTGACAACTCATAAAGCTACCCTAAAACCCAGTGAAAGAGCGTTCTTGTTTTTGCCCAGGACAAAGTTTGAAGATGAATAAAAAACACTGACGGTTTTTCCTCGTGTTAGGAAAAGAGGGCACACAGACTAGCTGGCTCTTGTCTTCAGGGATGCAAACCTTTCACACAGTCACCTGCTAGGAAGCCAACACTGAATGGTTTTGTTTCTATTGCTTTGAAATTCTCAGCAACCCAAACCAGGCCCTCTGAACACGGGTGTCAATGGGAGGACTGGGCAATTTGTGGTGCCTCTGGCAATGGAACCAGTATTTATCTAGTGCACAAATGGACTTTGGGAGCCCATTCCCTGTGGAGGAATACTCTCTCAGCCTAGATACTCGGGGGAGGGCCTAGGCCCTGCCCCAAATGATGTGACAGACTTTGATGATTTCCCATAGAAAGCCTCACCCACACTGGGGAATGGATGAGGAGTGGGATGGGAGGTTGGTGGGGGACATGGGAGGATGGGAGGCAGAGGGAACTGGGTTTGGTATGTAAAATAAGATTGTTTCTAATTTAAATAAAAATTTATAAAAAAATAAACACAAATAAATTAAATTCTCAGCAACCCTAACAATAGAATCATGAAGACACTGAGACTTAGAAATTAAAGGATGTTTTAAATTGTTAAGCAGTTCTATGGTGCCAGTGCACTCTTACTGTTCCACTGAGAACCACTAGCCTTTGGAAGCCTCGTGCCCACCCCCACCCCTACACTCTCCTACCCCCAGTAGTTCAGACCTAGGGCATTCTGAAGCCCGCGTCACGTTTACAGCACTGCATCCCTCGTGGATGTTTCCAAAGCAGTTTGCCACCCTCACCACGCAGCCCTTCCGCCTAGTGCCCAGCAGGCTCCACCCTTAGTCCAGAGGCTGAATTAAGGTATCCTCAGAGGCTAGAGCTGAAGCAATCTGCCGCGCGGGCGCACTCGGGGCCTTAGGCCCCGCCTCTCTGGCTCTCAGCTGCTCCGTTACCTTGGCAACATAGTACACATTGCGAATTCTAGTAGGGTGCACGATGTGCTTCATCAGGATAGGTAACAATAGAAGAGGACTACTGCAGAAACCGTGGCAGAAAGGTGAGAAGAACAGGAGAGATGAACACGGAGGAAGCACAGCTTGCTCCCTCGTGGAGTTACGCCTGGTTTACGTAAGAGCTGGCCGGGCGTTGGTGGCGCACGCCTTTAATCCCAGCACTCTGGAGGCAGGGGCAGGCGGTCGAGGCCAGCCTGGTCTCCAGAGCGAGTGTCAGGATAGCCTCCAAAAAGCTACACAGAGAAACCCTGTCTCGAAGAAAAAAAAAAAAAAAAAAAAAAAAAAGAGTTGGCCGCCCGGTCGACTGCTCCCAGGCTTCCCTCCACCCATGATGCTCATTTGGAGTTTCTCCTCTTGTTCTTTAGGGAAGCCGGATGATTACTCCTTTGGGACACGTCAACAGAGGCAACTCTTTCCTCACTCTCACCCCCCAACATGGTTGGGGAACAAGTTTCTCCCTCTTCGGGGAATGCCCCATACAGGCCCTGGATGTTACACAGCATCAGATGTGAGTATTCACCTCCCCTGACTTTCCTATGGAAGGACACACAAGTGTTCTGGTTCCCAAAATGAGGAGCCCTGGTCTACAACCAGCTATAGATACAATGTGTAAAGGACCTGGGCTCACCGCTTTCCTTTCCCCACTAAATGCAAACCTTGTCGATATACATTCTCTGCTCCATCTTCTCTTCCCAACATCCCTTTGAGCGGATGTCAGTTTCTATCCGCGCTTAGTTCAGTCCTCAGTCAGCCTCTTCATAAAAGCAAATTTAGCTATTACAGGGCTCTGAGGATGGAAGTCTTTGGAATTCACATGAAATCGATGTATCGTCTATCCAGTAACTTCTCTGCAAAGTTACTTGTGCTATTTTTTTAACTGTATGGTTTTTAACTATAAAAGAATCAAGACAAGAAACAATACAGCAATGTCTTGCAAAGAAGTTCTCATAGGAACATTCTAAAGTCATTCCACTTTGAAGACTGCTTCATGGTTGTGTTACTGACGCTGTGCTTCTCTCCTCCCCTCATCCCTCATCTTTCACTGGAAGTGGAATGGTTTGGCATACAACCTGTCTCAGACGCCAACCAGTACAAAGGGTTATGCTATTGGAGCCAGGACAGCTGTGAGGTTTAAGCCAGTCAAGGTAATGTTCTGGGATTGTAAGGTGGTCTTTGTGGAAACAAAAAAAGTTGAGACATTAACCACTGCAAGCAGGAAGTAACCTAAAAGTAGAAAGAAAAAAAAAAAACCACACTTCACTGAAGAACTAGACCCAGGACAGGGTTTTACAACCTAAAGTTAAAATATAGAAGCTATGTTTATTTACATCACACTATCTTGTCAGTTAAAGGACAAATTCCAACTTTTTCATTGTGTGTGTATGTGTATCTGACTGGATTTCAAGTATAACTGTGAACAAAAACAAAATCTTTATCTTTCTTCTTTTTCTGATGAGTTCTGAGCCTAGACTCTGCTAGGCTACAGCCCCTAGGTAACTAAAAATCCTACTCTCTTACCAGGCAGTCAAGGAGTGGCAATACTAACTATAAAAGTCACCCAGTGGTTATCTGCACCAACTTGCTTTGATTTTTTTTACTATATGTGTGTGTGTGTATTATGCATGTATGTATATTGTATGCATGTATGTATATATACATATATGTGTGTAGCTGACCCACATCCATATTTAGGTGTTTGTATATAGAGGCCTATTTCTACCTCTTTGACACACTGAACTGTAACTGATTTATAAACAGTATGAAATGATTGTTTTGTTTTACCTCAAATAATCTGTAATAATATAGATTATATCTTATCAATCTCTAACAAATGAATCTTTTATGATTATAGGATGTGACACCACATCCAGGAATGTATCAGAAATTTTATGCCTGGAATGACAAATACAAGCAAAGCTTTGCTCCATTTAATGCCTTGATGCCTCGATTTAGGACTGACGTTAAGGGCAATTCCTATCCTGGGTATGTCTTCTGTTTACTGTGCATTTCATAGGAAAGAGGTACATAAAGCAGGAATTATGTCCAAACTTTCCAATATGAACCTTTAAAGACTTAACCTCTAACTTCCCAGGTCTCTGGTACTGTGTAATTGTAGAATCAGTTATTAATTCAATAGATGTTTGCTAATATGTCAGGTGAATTTGTAGCTTCCCCAGATCATTCAAACCCACCAAACAGGGATCCCGATCTCTTGGAGAGTACGCGTTAGAACCAAAGAAACCAGAATTAAATATTTAAGGAAATACCAACGGTAATAAGGATACCGGCCATATAATATATTAGTCAAACTGTAACACTTCCAAGAGTTAAGGGAACCAAGTGATTGTTCCCTCATGACAGTAGCTGTAACTGGAGACTGTCATGGGCATACCAGAAAGTGTAGGGAGCTGGTGCTGTCCTATGAGGACATTAGAACAAGATGACCATATGATAGCGTGATGAGCTGGAGGCTACTTTGTCTGAAGTTGATAAGGAAGATCCACAGCAAATGCAGTTTGATCTGTGAGCTGAATGAATAGATTAAGCTAGTCCCATGAAGTGGCTTGATCTATTGTGGGAAGACAGAGCATCCCAGGCAGAAAGAACAGCAACTGCAAATACTTTAAGCTGAGAAGACATTTGGTGAAAGAAAAGAAAGACGTTATCATGGCTAGGGTATGGTGAGAATGGAGGAAATGTGAACACAGAAGAGAGGCAGTCTTGAGTATCTAGGCCTTCTAAGCCAATGGGGTTTAGTTTAGATGTCTATGAACTCACTCAATATATGCAACTACAGGAGCAAATAGTCAGAGTCTTTCCTTAACTGATGAGAAATCCAATGGCCAGAAAATGCAAGTAATTTTTCCAAGCTTCTGTTAAAGAAGTTTAAATATTGGTCTTGATTCTCTATCTGCTCTAAACTATTCTTAACAATAGAATCCATAGCAGCTTTACAAACACAGGCAATTCAAAAGTAAACTCATTGCTGAGAACCAAAGTAACTGGTTCTCCTTTGTTTGTCCCTAGATTGCAGAAAGGTTGTCTGCATATATTGCACCAAGTTCAAACTGTGGTCAGTACTAATCCATCACCATGGTGGATCTCTTATCATTCTCCTGGGGTCCTCTGGTCTTTCAGCTAAGGACTCTGAGTTACAGAAATAATTTTAAGTCTATCTTTACCTTACTTGGATGTTAGGCTGGTTCTCTTTAACACTGGCAACCTAATTAGAAATACACTAACAGGGAAATGGTACTCATGTTTGCCTGACACTGAAAGGTTAGTCTTGTTTTTCCCAAGGCAAGTGGAATTCATGGTCAGTCATCAACTGTATTTGTATATTTATTTTTAGCCCTGGCACATACAATCCAGAGAAGAAGTCACCTCCAAAGGTTGTTTGGCCAATGAAATTTGGATCTCCAGACTGGTCTCAGATTCCACGTCTAGAGAAGAGAACTCTAAAAGCCGAGGTAATAAGATTGACTGTTAACATACCTTTCTGTCCAGTACTATACCATATTATCATTTGTTCTTAACTGGAAGTCTGTAAGGGAACATTAAAAAGTTCATGGTCCCCAGAAGTTATATTTTGTGGGTATGCCAATGTGAGGTTCTTTTTGGAGAGCTATATATCAGTATTAGCTTTTTATAGCTAATACTAGCCATATATCACATTTTACATTAAAAAGTTCATGGTCCCCAGAAGTTATATTTTGTGGGTATGCCAATATGAGGTTCTTTTTGGAGAGCTATTATCAGTATTAGCTTTTTATAGCTAATACTAGCCATATATCACATTTTGTTTAATCCTTAGATAAGGGATTAATTGCTCCTGATAATTATTTCAGGTACACCTGGGAACTTAAGAAATGCTGAGAAGAGGTGGCTAACTAGGTGGCTTCAATCCATAACCCCTGATGCATTGTTCTTTCTGACATAGCACATGTGTGTTAGATCTCTGGAGAATTGGAGAGCATTCTGAATAAGAGCACGAAAAGTACTACCCATCTCCAAATGTGAATCCAGTATTGCCTTCCTGTGTGATCTCCAGGCCTTTTTCTAAGTGTCAATTTTTTTATTTTTAAAATGAATTTAATAATACAATTTATCTGACATTATTATAAAAATTAATAACAGATATGGAAAAGCATTTGATGCAGTACATAGATTATATGCTTAGTATGGATTTGCTATCATAATTCTAGGTTTATGTTTTTTTCCTAGTGGAATTTAGGATTAAATCCATAAATATTTGTTAAATGGCTTGTATATGGATATACGTGTTGGGACCTATGGGTAACATAGATGCTGACCAACTACTCAAAACTTTCCAAGTAGCCAATAATTCCTAGCATGATGAACACCAGAATACAATGTTCTCAGTTATCATGAATGTTGAACCACTACACCTCAACTACCATCGAGTTGAGATTCACCTGGACCACAGAGTTAATACTGTGAGGTTCCATTTCATATAGTCAGAAAGCTCAGAAGCACAGGATACTTGCTGGGGTACTGAGCCAGACAATGTTCTTTTGTTGCAGCTGTCCACAGACAAGGACTTTAGAAAGCACCGGAACCGGGTGGCCTACTTAAGCCTCTATTACAATTGAGAAGCAGGCACTGCCTTCATGTGTTCTCCTGATCACAGACTCTCCAGAACTGAGGACAGAACCGCTCTTGTACTTCTGCGTTTCCTGGGCCCTGTGGTCTGCCAATTTGGCATCTGGGGAGGGGCAAGGGTCTCACAGTCACCCTACGAAAACATAAAGACTGGTGGATAATGTTCCTAGTCTGTCTCTTTGTTTGTGGTCTAATAGTGCCTGTTGGGTGCCCAACCAGGAAGTTTCATTTTTCAGAAATACTCAGAGATCCCTTGACCACTACCTTCAATATTCAGGCATCAGTCTTGAATGTTCTACTACTAGCCTTGCCACAGGGTAGATCTGTCAAACATGTCAAGGGTTTAGATAGAATTTGAGCCCACAAAACATGGGAAATATTTTAATTCAGATTAAAATACTTATATTTGGGAGTTTTTCCAAACTTTATGAGTTCCCTGGTATAGGATGGAAATTCCCTGGTTCTGTTCTTCCCTAGACTGACATAAAACTCAAAGAACACAAACAAGTCCCATTACTCATGACATCACCTGTTTAGCCTATGCACTGAGTTCCTGCTTAATGCCAGGCAGAGTGACAAGCATTGGGAATATACTAGGAGTCAACACACATCTAAGCTGAGGTATTAGAGAAACCTCACAAAGTGGTGAGGAGATTGGGTGTAGGGGAAGCTGTAGCCACACCTACTTAGGGGCTGGCTATAGGTGTGTCACCCAAGCTTCCTCTGCAACATTGGAGCAACCACCTTCAGCCTACAGGCCCAGCCTATCTGAAAGAATTTTCTGTGAAAAGGAATTTTGAAAGACTGTTCTACCTTGTCTTGGTAAATTTTGGCAGTCACTCTCTTTGGTGTCCTTCTTATCCAATTTGCAGCATACTATCAGCAGTTGAGGCAAGAGCAATTTCTTGCCCAGTGGATAACTTTGCAACAGTGCAAGCAAGCTCCATATGGTGGTTTTGGATGCCCACCATCCTTTTTTGAAGTAAATTGGTACTGCCAGGAGCATACCTGTCTCACTGTCTTGAAAAGCTTTCTGTTATTAAAACAACCCAAGTATCATATTCTGAAAGTCAGACTTTGGGATAAAACCTGATAAATCCAAAAAGCAACATAAGAACAATCAGCTAACTCTTCTCTCCATGCTTCCCAAATCAAAAAGTACCATATATCTGTCTAAGCCCCTCCCTACTACTTACGTTGCCCCCCTATCTAGGTCCTCTAAAACCTCTCTG